TTTTAGGTCTCTACGTCCATCCCATGGGGAATGGGAGCAAAAACAAAAGTGTTGCATTTATATTTTTGTTCAGTGTACATGCAGGATTTTCTATAGATTTATACTCTTCATATGAAACTCACAAATCTAATCCTCTAAGCCTAATCCTCTGCAGAGATCTACGACAATCCGTTACTGTATAGTTTCTAAAAATATGCATTGGCAGTAGGGATGGGTACCGGTGTCCGGTGCCATGATGGCACCGGTTCTGACATAAACGGTAGTAACCAGACCGAAAAGCAGCGCACATTTCGGTGCTTTATTTCAGTGCTTTTTTTTTTTCCTGAGCTGTGATACACTTTAGATTCTAGCCAATCATTTTACGTTTACGAGGATAGTAGGCGGGGCCAGGTACGTACGTTCTGTTAGGGCAGAGCTACAGATTAAAAATGTCCAAGGCGAAGCGGTCAAAAGTCTGGCTGTACTTCACAGCAAAAGATGCAAACTCAGCAGCAACAAGTGCTTTAAGCTGATACTGTGATACTGTCAAAGGAGGTAACACCTCAAATCCGATGAAACAGCTGGCGACGCATAGCGTTTTTTTTTAAAAGCCCAGAAATGCGCCGTATTTGATAGCTTGCCACGAGACCTCACACCGAGCACATCTACTGCGGGTAGGTTGCCTGTTATGCAACATCCCCCAAAAACACGAAGAGGAGAGTCCTGGCCCCTAGCCCTGCCAGTGTAGCAGAAATGATGACGGATGATGATGGCAGCAGCAGCCGTTCTTCTCTGCGTGAGTAGCTAATTTACGTTGAGTAGGCTAACCACGTTATTACATTAATGCATGTAAGGTGAACTAGCAAACATCATCATAGCTACATGTGGCTGTCTTCTTGTTTGATGGCAGATACTCCCTTCACCCTGGCTAAAAAGGCTAAAATGACCAAAGAAAAAGTGGAAAACAGTTAAACATGAGAGGTTTTGGACAAAGTTTGTGTTTTTTCCATTGTTTAAGCACTGCTTCCAGCCAAGAGTGATACCATATATGCCCCATAGCTGCAGAAAAGGCTAACATTGTTATATTTTTACAAAAAACAGCTGAACATGAGAGGTTTTTGGACCAATTTAGTGTTCTCCATTCTTTAAGCACCGGTTTGAGCACCGTTTGAGCACCGGCACCGTTTCAAAAGTACCGATTTGGCACCGGTATCAGATAAAACCTAAACGATACCCATCCCTAATTGGCAGTTATGAAACAAAGAACCTTCTCACAAATTGAGCATTGTGTTTTCACTTGTTTTGCTGTAGTGTGTAATGATGTGTATAGTGTTTACATTTTTGAAAGCTTCGAGCTGCTCTTTTGGTGTGAAAGTTTGAGTTATCAAAGTGGGAAGGTGTGGTTGTGTTTATGTAGCTTTAGAAAAGGGTGTTGTGTTTAGACATTGGGGAACATAGTGGAAACGTTTGTGACATGTGTTTTAGCATTTGAGAAAAACTGTAATGATTACCGTTTTAAAACTCATTTTTAACTAATATTCATATAATTACTTTTTAAATTAACACCACAGGTATTTGTCTACAGGTTTGCATCATCTAATATGTTTTATTCTCTTTTAAGACGTGAATGAAAACGCAGAATCTGCGCTACCAGTTGACTCAGGAACTTGTATTCTTCACTCTCCCTGTCAGGTTGTTTCTGTTTCCTTTCTTCCACCTCTCTAAACATGGCATTTGTGTAGTATGTGCCGCCACGTCCTGCCACCAGGTCATCAATCTTCTTGATCAGCTCCTCCACCTGCTTTCTGTCTTTGCTTCTGTTGTTGAAGACGTGGAACCTGTTTCCACAGCCTTGGATGACTTCTCTGAGCTCTGGTTTGGCTTCACGTACATACTGCTGTATGGTGATTTCCTGGTCTTCAAGATCATCTCCATGGGTGAACAGCACAATCATGTAATGTTGAGCTTTTGGACCAAACAGCTCCAGCAGGGCTTCCACAGAGTTTTTCTCCTCTGTGGTGAATCGACCGACTTGGAGCACCAGTAGAAAAACATGAGGACCTGGACTGGAGACTTCAAAACATCTCACAATTTCCTTTTCGATCATTTCTGCAGGTTTCCCAGTGTCCAGGATCCCAGGTGTGTCTATGACATAAATTTTTCTCTCCTCCAACTGTGTTTCACCTGTTTCACAGGTTTCAGTCACTGACTCTGAACTGGGACGAGATTTGAAAAGTTTTTTTCCCAGGATGGTGTTTCCAACAGCACTCTTCCCCACACCAGTTTTTCCAATCATCACAATCCTCAAATCAGGACCTGAAACACAATTCACAGCTTCAGTTTAACAAATCTGAAAGTTTATGTCAACAGGCTTCATGTATTTCGTGATTATGAGCACATATTGGCATCTTGCTTACAAAAACATTTATCAACAGAGCAGATTAAATATATTTTACCTGATTCAGCCACTCCGCCCTTCTCCTCATGATTTTCATTAATCATTGCAGTCTTCACAATAGACTCTGAAACGCAATTCAAAGCTTCAGTTTAACTTGTCTGAAAGGTGTTATCAAAAAGCTTAATGTTTGTTTTTTTTATGAGCACATATTAACACATGTAAACTGTCATTGTCCTGCGTCTGGGGACCCAATGTTAAGTATTATTGAAGTTATGAGTACTAGTTGATTTAGCTTTTTTTTTTGTCATGTATTCATTTGTATTTCTAGCTCCCTTAATCAGGATTTTGTGATTTCTAGTCTTTGGGTTTTGTTACTGTGCCTACCCTGTGTCCCTTGTGTTATGTCTAGTAGTGCTTGATTTTTGTATTTTCTGTTTTACTTTGACAGTCCCGTGTCCTGTGTTAGAGTATTTTGTTTTGCGTTCTGCCTCTCTCTTGTGTGTGATTAGCCCCAGCTGTGTTTCCCTCCTGGTTCCCATCCCCTCACTATCCTTTTTGTATTTGGTCCTTTGTCTTCCTTTACCTGTTGTCATTACGCCTTGAGGCAAATGTTGTTGTGATTTGGTGCTGTATAAATAAAATTTAATTGAACTAAATTGCATCTGCGTTTCCTCCAAGTCTCTTCCATGTTTCTCCTAGGTTTTTCCTGAGTTTCCAGGAATTTTCTAGTGTTAAAGTTTTGGTGAGTATTTGCTTAGTTTCCCCAGTTTAGTTTGAGATCTATGGCTTCCCCCCCCCCCTGTTTTGGGTCTTTGCCCTAATAAATGGCATGCCTTCAGTTTAAATTCAGATTTTATCTCCATTATCTGCTTTTGGGTCCACATTCTCCTCACTCCCCACACAACACAACAGCCGTAATGGTCCCAGTTGATATGGATCTGTATGAGTGGCAGCAGGAAGCACTTTCATTACTGTAGGAAGAGCTGACTTAGAAGTCATGGCTCACACCTGACTGCGAGTGCATTTGTCGCAGGACTCGTCTAGCTCTGGGGGGTCCCCGAAGATGCCGTGCTCCTCCGCCCCACCAGCACCCAAGCTTCCACAACTTTGAGTGGTAATACTTTGCTTTTCTTCAAACACACACTCTCTAGCCTCAGCATTGTGGTCTGCGCACTAAAGGCTCAGCTGCCTAGCGTCACTCTATGCATGCTGAAAAACCACCAGTGGTGAGTGAATTAGACTCTTTTCCTCATGCTCCTCCCAAGCTTACAAAAGTCAAGACACGTCAAAAACTTTAAAGACTATTTGTCATGCTGGAAAATGGACAAAGACTGGTGTTTTCTTTTCTGAGCCTTCTCCTCTGCCTCTGTGTGTTCCTGTCCCCAGGCAGCTGCGGCCCAGCCTTCCCCTGCACCCGTACCAGTTCCCCAGGTGAGGGTAGCTCTGGCAGGGCTTTTCCTGCTTCCAGGGCAGCGGGGCTTTGGCCTTCCCCTGCACCTGTACCAGTGCCTCTGGTGAGGGTGGGTAGGGCTCAGCTAGTCCCTGCTCCAGTTCCCAGGCTGGCTGAGGCTCCGCTTGTCCCTGCAACTGTTGCTTGGGTGGGAAAAGCAGACACCCTGCTGCTTGGTGTCTGTCCTGGCACCAAAGGATGTCGGCGACTGTGGCCCAGCTTACTCCTGCACCTGTACCCATTCCTTGGATGGGAGTGGCTGGCATCCGATCTGCCCCAGCACTACTGCTGGTCCCCAGGGTGAGGCCAGCCAAGACATAACCCTGTACCTACTCATCGGGTGGGAGTGGCTAGTGTTTGACAGATGTCTGCACCCATTTCTACCTCTGCTGGAGGTCAGGTAACACCGTGCAGCCACCTCCTTCACCAGCTGAAGGTTCAAGAGTGTCAGTCCAGCTACCTGCAGCTTCCATGCAACCAACCTGTCAGCTGGGGACTCTGGAGGGCCACCTGCTTTGCCAGAGGACTTTGTGCTTGCTAGTTGGTCCTGCCAAACCACGCTGTTGCCTACACCTGTGCCTCATGGCCTTTCACAAGAAGATTCTGAGTTCACTTCCACCATCTGCGTGTAGTTTGCATGTTCTCCCCATACTTCAGGTACTCCAACTTCCTCCCACAGTCCAACGACATTCAGTTAGTGGGGTTAGGTTATTGGTCATTTTAAATTGCCCACAGGTTTGAATGTGAGTGGAATGGTTGTGTGTCTCTATATGTTGGCCCTGTCTACCCTGCTTCTGTCACTATGGCAGCTGGGACAGGCTCCAGTGACTCTAAAAAGGATAAGCAGCAAAGAATGGATGGATGGTGTTTTCCCTGTTCTGTCTCCATCGTCGGCTTTTTGGGTCCACATTCTCTTCATTCATAAGTCTTATTGATATCACCATGCCGTCTCCAGTGGCAGACAGTGTGGAGTGAGGAGAAAGAAGTGAGAAGAACTGAGTGCTAAGTGTGGAGAACATAAACACAAAACATTAAATATATTTTACCTGATTTAGATGAAGCCTCAGCGCTCTTCACCTCAACAATTTCTTTAATTGTCACAGTCTTCACATCAGAATCTGAAATATAATTCACAGCTTCAGTTTAACTCGTCTGAAGGGTTTTAGAAATAAGGTTCATGTATTTCAGTGATTATGAGAATATATTCTGCATACAATAACAATTATGAACAGTGCAGATCAAATTTATTTTACGTGTTTTAAATGTAGCCCGAGCGCTATTCTTCTCATCAATGTCTTTATTCATCACAATCCTCAAAATAGACTCTGAAAAACAATTCACAGTTTCAGTTTAACATGACTAAAAGGTGTTATCAATTGAATTGAATGTGCTCATAGTCGTGTATTTCAATGAATATGAGCATATAGTAACATTTTTGATATGGTAACAATTATAAAGAGTGCGCATGAAATATATTTTACCGGTTTTAAAAGTAGCCTCATCACTCTTCTCCTCATCAGTTTCTTTAACCATCACAATCCTCACAACAGACTCTGAAACACAATTTCTTGCTTCAGTTTAGCATGTATGAAAAGTTTAAGCAATAAGTTTCATGTTTTTCATTGATTATGAACACATATTGACATTTTGCATACAGTAACAATTATAAAGAGAGCAGATTAAATATATATTACCTGATTTAAATGTAGCCTCATCACTCTTCTTCTCATCACTTTCTTTAACCATCACAATCCTCACAATAGACTCTGAAACACAATTCCTAGCTTCAGTTTAACACGTATGAAGAGGTAAAGCAATAAGTTTCATTTATTACAGTGATGATGAACACATATTGACATTTTGCATACAAAAACAAATATAAACAGGAGTAGATTAAATATATATTACCTGATTTAAATGAAGCCTCAGTACTCTTCACCTCAACAATTTCTTTAATTATCACAGTCCTCACACCAGACTCTGAAACACAATTCCTACCTTCAGTTTAACATGTTTGAAGGTTTGAAGCAATAAGTTTCATTTATTTCAGTGATTATGAACACATATTGACATTTTACATACAACAAAAAATATAAAGATTATATATATATTAGGGATGCAACGATATTCGTATCGATATTGAACCGTTCGATACAGTGCTTTCGGTTCGGTACGCATATGTAT